AGCGTATTTACGATGAGATTACCATTAGATATAAATATCTGATTAATTTTGAATCCTATAGCTAATAAATATCTTTGCTTTTACATTCAATAAATAAAATCGTTGCAGCAAATTCTAATCGAACCAAACACAAATTATGCATTTTCAAGACGAAAACTCGTGAATTGGGTGGAAAGAGAAAGTCATTACTATTGCTGATTCACCCATTTTTCTAAAAGACAGCCAAATGTACGGAATCACAAGTAGATCTTGGGGTGATGGGCTCCACTAGATATGAAAATAGGTCCATTAAAGTTTGTATGTATTGGGCTGAGGGGGAAGAAGATGGGCTCACGCGCTTCAGATTTACAAACTTATCCCACTCGCACCAAACGCGCGTGGAACTTACTCGCGCGTATTCGTCGGGCTATAACCCATCGAATTCTAGGACTGGGCATTTAAACTCGTTATCCGCGGGTAAGCAGATACCCGGTCTCGTGAGTACCCGAAAAACGGGTACTCGACACTTCACGAAGACGAAAACGAGTATTAAAAACTAGAATACCCGTCATACGGATACGAGTTCGGGTTTTATATATTGAAATAACGGGTACACACGGGTACCCGCATATATATTAAAATTACAAAATTAATCTTATATTTTTAATATAATTTCTAAAATACTTAGGTTATTTTTACTTTCCTTTAGGATTATATATTGGATTTTCAAGTTTTGATAGATTCAACTTCAAATTATTGTGTATATTTTAAAATATTTCTAGAATTCTAGGCATATTATTATATTTTAAGAATTTTTAAACTTAAAAATATATTTTTAGATAAAAATATGTATATTTTTATTGATTATTTGGTTTAATTTTATATTGTTTAATATTTTTTATACGGATACGGGTACTCGCGGGTACCCGTCTTTTAGTTATGGGTATCCGTTGGATGGGTACCCGAATATTATGAGATAGAGATAGAGATAGCATTTCTTTGAAATCCGCGAAGACGAAAACGAAGACGGGTATCTCAAAAAACGCGGGTACCCGACCCATTTTCCAAAAAAGACGAGCTGTTAGGCGCGTGGGAGCGGGAGACTCCTCGTCAACGTGCTTATATCGATCAATACGGAGGCCATATATTGGAAACACCTCCCTTTTCTTGTCATATGAAATTGACTTACACAAATACAAACTTTAAATCTGTAGGAGTCCGCGTTTACTTGACTTTGACCAAAAGCGCTCCGTATAAATATTCAATTCAAATTTGTGTGTTTAATTTTTTGCTGGATTAATAGAATATATCATTAGAAATATTATTATAAATATGAATTTAAAAGTACTATAAAATTTTATAAAGACACAAACGAAGGTATAATATAAACAAATTTAGGCCGCTCAACTTTTATTTAGATTTTAAATACGTATAACAAAATAGTAATAATTATTATATTTAAAAAATATAACATGTGACATCTCAAATCTAAATTTTAAATTTTATGGAAAAAATGTTATATATGTTTATCTTTATAGAATAATTTGTGTGTTAATTGTATGTATAATCAATTTAAAATTATATATAAAACTTTGAATACAAAAATATAATGTGACAGCTGTGGGATTTGAACCCACGCCCTTTCGGACCAGAGCCTAAATCTGGCGCCTTAGACCACTCGGCCAAACTGTCTTTAATACACAAATGATAAATCTAAAATATTTGATATTTGGAAGTAAATTAACAGCCATCAAATACCCAGAATAGATTTTCCTGACCTCTCTCATCTATCGAATTGATCCCTAAACAATTTTATAGAACTTTTGACTAAAAAACGTATAATTTAAAATTTTATTTTGTCTATGCAATTTTAGAATTTAAATATTTTGGATCGAATTACTAAGCAATGACGCGTTTATACGTATTGAGAAAACGATTACATATAGACAACGAGAGGGTTCATTACTAGCCCATTTGAGGCCCAAAATTTTTGACAATTATCCACGAGGCTAGTGAACCAACTCTATATATATTAATGGAAATCTTATTGTTTCTCATAATATTTTTTAAAAAAAAATGTTCAAAAATATATTTGAAATTATCTCACTGAACCAATTGAATGTAAGTTTAAGAAATCATTACTTAATCTAATAACATATTATTTTATTTCTCTTATAAAATTACCAAAGTCTATATTATGTTGAACAATACCATATTTTGAAGAACTTTTAAAAAGTATGTACACGATGACTCTTGATTTTTAATTATATAAATAGAGTTGTAAAAGGGCGAAAAAGGGAGTTGTAAAACCAAATCTAATAAAACTAGATGTTTCTATAGATTTTTAAACCTCTATGGCTAAATTACGAAGAAATTATAATATATATATATATATGTGTGTGTGCGTATATATGGACCCACAAGCGGGTTGCCATTGTTTTTTGTGTTTCTTTTTTTGATAGCGAGGCATTAAATCTTTACAAATATGAGTAGAAAATGAGAGACAATTATGGAAGATGAAAACCTTTATAGATAGACACAAACAAATACCAAAATTAACTTCACCAAAAACATGTATAAATTGAGGGCATCTCATAACGTCAACCCACAAAAAAAAAAAAAAATGGGGAGAAGGAAAATTCCGATGGAGATGGTGAAGGACGGCAACACGAGGCAAGTGACGTTCTCCAAACGCCGTAACGGCGTTTTCAAGAAGGCCGACGAGCTCTCCACTCTCTGCGGCGTCGACGTCGCCGTCATGGTCTTCTCCCCCGGCGGTAGGCCCTACTCGTACGGCAGCCCCAGCGTTGACGCCGTCTTCGACCGTTATCTTGGCCCGGACACTTCCTCTAACCCCCGCGTCCGCGTTAACGTTAACGCTAACGGTAGGAAGGCCACCAAAAGAGTTGCTGCTAAGCAGGTCAAGCTTGAAAATTCTCAAGCATACCTCACTTCCCTCGAGGAGGAGTTGCAGGCCGAGAAACTCCGTGGAGAAGTATGTGTGTGTATACATATATATATAGACATATTATATATCCTTTTCAATTACAAGAATTTTGTATCTGTGTTCTTATATATTGATTTTCGGACAGGTTCTCAGGGATAAGTTCAAAGAGACGCGTGAAAAGAATAAGTTTAAGGATGTGAAGGATCTCGGAATGGATGAACTGAACGAGTTCAAGGGCAAGCTCGAAGCTCTTCGTGAGATGATCAATGGCAAAATCATGGAAATGGAGGCTTCATCCACTCTCATGATGCTCTCGAAGGGCAAGTCTCCGATTGAAGTAGAGGGTTCGAAGAACAAGAGAAAAAAATAGTTTGGCAGAATAGATGCTCTAGGTTCCATATACTGTTTTTGAGTTCGAGAATGGGATCCAAATTTTGTCTTTCGGGTCTGAGAATAATGGATCTGTTGTGTAATGGAACTTGTTATGTATTTCCTTTTTCATATTCGGAGGTTGTAAGAATTTTTTTTTAATTATCAAAATTTTCGTTTTATTGATTCCACCACAGCAAGTAAATGCGTGAGATTTATAAATTCATAAGGTATATAGAAAATATGTATTATTGCGACTGTATTTGTATGTAAAACTACATTAAGGTAGTGTGCCTCAAATACTGTTTCCCCATTATTAGAAGGTCTTTTACCGGAAATCTTGCTTATACGTGCTATTCGACCGTATATATATATATATCACACTTCTTTTTGTGAAATATATACAGATCTATTTTCACTTAGGATACTTATCAATTTGAGTGATGAGTATTTTATTTGAATAAGTTGGTTGTAAACGTGCTAAATTATATGATACCATTGAATTAATATGAAAAAAGTTAAAAACCAAAGAAAGAAAAGATTTGATTTAGAAAAAGCCTATAAACCCAATTTAGGTAAAATATGATTATGCCTACTATGAAAAAAAAATAAAAAAATAATATTTTCATATTTATATATGTCCACGCGCGCTAATAAACATTTTTATAAAAAAATATTTGTCTCTATTTCACGCGGTTGATAACACGCGCTATGTTTTAATGATATAGTTAAATACGCTAATAAAATTTATAAAGAAACTTTTTAGTATATATCTACAGTAATCTTTCTTTATATATACACGTATCTGAATTTTCACGCGTTTATATACACGCGTTTATATCATCAATGATACAAACGTTAAAAATTTTCAATAATATGAATTATTTTTGTAAAGTTAAAGGTATTATTTTATGTATTTTAAAATAACTATATTATATATATATATGAATAATAATATAAATTTATTTGGGTAAAAAACTGTTCAAATAAACTTACCACGAAAATATGGACATTTGTGCACCCACTACGTTAGAATCTATAAAATGATATGTCGAGAATATAATATGGACGATGCGTTTTATAAATATTGTGTTAATAAAATTATGTTGTGTATATATATATATATATATATATATATATATATATAAGAAAAAAAACCTATTTTGAGTATTTTTATCAAAATTATGTCATATATGTTTATTATGCATAAAATTTGATAGGAAAATTTTAAATAAATATATCAATTTATAATTTTCTTTCAAATTCTTACGGAATTCTACCGGCGTTAATTTAATTGGATAACAGTTTCCATTTTGAGTTGAAAACCTTTCGATTAGAGGTTATGAGATTTGGCCTACCACCGTCAAGTTGTGTTTACAGAACCCGGAACCCGGAACCGGCTCCGGCTGTGGACTTCGACACGGTGGCCAACCAGAAGAAGAAACAAGAGGTCAATGTCGGTAAGTAACAGATCGAATCCAAACACGAGGTCAATGTCAGTAACTTCAAACACAGCCATCGTCGTTCTGTTTGATCTTCCTCTTTCCGGGCAGACATATCAAACTCCTTCGGTTTCGGTGGACACAACTTCGTTGTCGCGGTCTCTGCTTTCAGGCCCTGAAGATGAAGATGACAGTTGGTTTTCCGTTTATTCCTCTCTCTCTCTCTCTCTCTCTCACTCTTCATCTTTCTGCAGTTTCTTGGGTCACAAGTCAGTCAGCTTCCCACCTTCACTCACCATATATATATTATAACATTACAGGTTTAAACAAAATAATCAACTAAAGAGAATCCAATGGTTTGGGAAACGAAATCATCATGCAAAGAGCTATTCATATTTCCTAAGCTACTGAGTTACAAATATCTATGCTCAAAACTACAGCAAATGGGAATGCCCTCACCGCATTCGCCTTGAGATGGAGCAAAACATTAAGCAGCTCTCTGTTCAGTATTCATCATCAGTTTGACATTTTACAATTTTTTTTACCTTGAGGAAGCTGTTTGTTGTTGATGTTGAGCCTTGAGTTTGTCGAGCTGCTTGCGGAGGAATGCTTGTCTGAGTTTCTCACGGCGAGCTGCAGCTTGCTCCTGCCTTTGCTGTTTCAGCTCCGTTGTTTTCTCTCTTGCTTGGTTCACTTCTTCATGAACCTCCCTGATAATATATTATTAATTCACAATCCACAATCAGATAGACTCCCCATTCACACAGAATCAATGTTTAAGATTCCAAATTACAATATGTATTAGTACATAAATCAGTAAAATATCTGGCTGGACAGCCTTTGTTTCTCTCCCTTTCAACATTTAGCTATTTGATCAAACTAACTCATCATCCTACAAGAAAGTGGACAGAGGATTTACCTGACCATGCGGACATGTTCACTCGTGTCTGCTGTCCCAACAGTCCGACCAGGTCCCACAAATCTGGTCCTAAACAGAGAACCATCACCTTCACCTTCTCCTTCTTCCTTTGCGTCATCAAGAGGTGCTGATGCAGATTCATCGTGTTCACCTGATCGGTGGTGTGATTCTTCCTGTTCAATACCCTTTCGGAAGAAATCAACACAGTACTTATCCTGGTCTTCTTCATCAGCCAGCTCTCCCCTTACAAGCTTTGCGTACAACTCTGCCTTTTTCTCCAAAGCTGCATAACTCACCGATCCATCTTTTACTGCTTTTGAGCTCGAGTTTGTCCCTTTGTTGACACACACAAAAACATGATTTGATTAAGTAAACAGACAAGACAGTGCTGCTTCTACACAGGAAGATTCGAAGGCCAGACAATGAAAGGACAAACGAACATCACCTCTCCTTCTTCACTCTAAAGATGAATTCAGTGGCATAAACTTCTCCAAGTTAAGCTAAAACTGGTGATCCTAAGCCCTGAGTTCATAATGATTTGTCCACTGAGAATCAAGTCATATATTGCAGCAAATGTGAAACACTTCCTAAACAAACCTAAGTCCCAAAATCTTGAAACATTTCCTCCGTACCAAACTTGAGATCGACAATCTCACTAAATCTAAGAAGCTCAATGATGATCTGATCTTACCCAGAAATATCCTAAAATTCGAATTCGGCACGGATAAAATCAAGCCCCAATTCGGAAAACCTAGCCCCCAAAATCATGACCAGACAAATTGATAGCAACGGCAGGAAAGAGCCAAAATCGTCCAAATTTTGCAACTTACTTTAGGGCACGAGCCTCGACGCCGGAGTTTTTTCCGGGGAAGGATCCGTGCGCGGCGACCCTCTGCTTGGCGCGGTGGTACTGGACGTCGGTACCCGTCAAATCCTTGGACTTCTTGGATTCCTCCTGGGATCTGTAGAGCTGAGCCTTGAGCTCCATGATGGAGGAAGGGCCCACGCCTTCGATGGCTCTGTGCTTCTTCGGCATTATCGAAGATTCCGTCAGCCATCCCAGCGATTCCACTGCCACCCTCTTCTTCCTCTCTTCTTCCCCTCCCATCTTATGGGGAATTTTACTAAAATGATTGGCATCTATTTCACGTGTACACCATAAAAAACATAACACATTTTTTTCTTTGAAAAGACGAAATTACCCTTAATGAATACACGATTTTTATCCGTTCGAAAACAACTTCGTTATTACGATTTCGTAATTAATTCTAAATATAGTTACAATTGATTCTAAAAAAGGTGGCAAAAAATCTGTCTTATTTTAAGTGGTATATCAGTTATATATTAGTCGTAATAAAGTCACAAAAAATAAAACGAAAAGGGTATTTCGGACTTTTTTAACCGAAAAGTGGGTTAAAATTGAAAAGAAAAAAAAAATTTCGGTGGTGTACCCTGAAATAGGTGCGACCCAACCGGTTATTTGAGTAAAATTCCCCATCTTATGGGGTTTTTTACCCAAATAACCCACTTGGGTCGCATCTATTTCATCTGTACACCACCGAAAACATAACACATTTTTTTCCCTGCGAAAAGACGAAATTACCCTTAATGAATTACGATATTTATCCGTTCGAAAACAACTTCGTTATTACGACTTCATAATTAAGTCTAAATATAGTTATAATTGATTCTAAAAAAGGTGGTAAAAAATCATCTTTCTTATTTTTAGTTGTATATTAGTTATATGTTAGTCGTAATAAAGTCGCAAAAAATAAAACGAAAAGGTTATTTCAGACTTTTCCCACCGAAAAGTGGATTAAAATTAAAAAAAATTTTTTTTTTTTTTTGGGTAGGGTACACTGAAATAGATGCGACCCAAGTGGGTTATTTGGGTGATTTTACCCATCTTATGTCTTTCTCTCCGAAGCCATAGATAGATACACAAACGCCCACACGCGTCGTATGCAGACGGGCGTGTATAGATTAGAATATTTATCTTCTTCTTTTTTTGTTATTGTTGATTCGCCATTGGATGAGACTGTTGAGTACTCTCTTCCCCCACGAAAAAATTGCGATGGAACCGTAAGCCGGTGTTTCAGAGGGCATTTTTGTAATATGAAAGCATCCATGAGAAATGACCGTTACTGTTACATTAAAAAAAAAAACATGCCGTGGTGCGTGGGATCCAATGTGTGTTGGTCACATCAGATGCCCAGACAGAACTAACTGCGATAATAGAGTTAAGATGACGAACCAGAAAAGGAAACATATAACCGAATCACCACGCAGCAAAGATTGCCCAAAAATACAAACAAGCACCACACACGTCAGAAAATGTTATGAAGCAGCCAGCAAACACACACACCACATTTTCATACAGAATTTGAAGGAAACAAAAAAGATGAATGGGTAGTTAAGGAGTAGGACGGCCACGTCCCATAGTGAACCCTCTTGTCCCGTCCGGCATTCTTGGCCCAGGTGGCGGCTTTGTGAACTCCCCCCCTGCAGGATGATGGCCAGACGATGACGATGATGATTGTGCTGTTCCATGGCCTGCACCAATTACCATTTCAGCCTTTTTGTCTTTGTTCCACTAGATAGAAGAAGAAGAAGATGAAGAAGAAGAAGAAGGGATATATATATATATATGTATAATATATACCGGTGCCGTTATTGCCGTGGTGGTAGTTTTGCCGCCTATTCCTCCCACGACCTCGGCCTCTGCCCCCATTTTTATCCTTTTGATGATGCTGATGTCCCCCTTCCTGTAATGATTAAATCAAACTAGTTGAATCACATCCCCCCACCCATCCACTGGCTTCTTACATACCACCAAACTGTTAAATTCTCAAATAGCAGCCATAACACTATCGGAAATTGAACATGAGCATGTAAACATAAATAGAGTTTCTCAGATAGGGAACTTACATCTTCATCATTGGTATCAGAGTGATGTTGGCGGTGATGTTGATGATGTTCATTTGCCTTCTTGTGCTCCTCTTCCCCAGTGTTATGCTCATGAACCCGGCCAGTTCCGTTACTTTCAGTCTCAGTTTCCCTCCGAACCTGTCTTCTTTGTCCATACTTCCCCTGCTATGGGTGTTCACTCAGTGACTATCAAAGGTAAAACTCAAAAACCATTTTTCCGTAAGTAAGAAATGAAAAAATCAAGACTACTTACTGCCTGTTTGAGAAGCCTAACCCGCAACCCGTTTCTCCAGTCTTGTTCATTATTCAGTGTAGCAGCCTGCACCCATCAATAAAATGTAACTAAAGATCCACTCTCTGTAGCTAATATCTGATAGAGGTTAAATCGAAGAAGAGAATGATTAGACGCTCACTGCTTTCTCAGCTGCCTCCACCGTTTCATATTCTACAAAGGCATGCAACTACAGCCAAAAAGAACAAGAAGTCATTAACAAATAAGCATGCACACGGGTGTTACTTCTACACATGTGCCTGTCCATAGACATACATATAGATATTTTCCAAATAAGTAACATTTCGATTAAAATTCCTTACCCTGGTGCTGATCATTTTCTCCTTCTTAACACCCTTCTCTAATTCCTCAGCAGCATTTGGATCACATACAGACACACTTTTTATTCTGCAGTTTAGGAAAAAAAAGGTTAGATACAAGGCAGATGCAACAATATATGGAAGAAAGGAAGGGAAACGAGAAAATCACAGTCAGACACGGAAGGTATACTTTCCAGCTTCACGGAATATCTTGCGTATGTTCTCCTCTGAATGATCCTCCGGTAAGTTTTCTACCACAACGGTGAACAACTACAGTGCAGAGTACATCAATTAGAGACAAATATTTCTCCATGGATAAAATACACAGCTAAGTTCGAAGCAATAGATACCTTTGGATCCTTGACCTCAGGAAGAGGATTAAGACGCTTCACCTTCTTCCCATCCGAACTAACAACCTACAGGTTTCGGTCATATGGATTTTAACATTTCCATTCATTGCTACGCTTATAGTGACTATGAAAAAGGAGCTTACAAGTAATGACGATTCCTTTAAAGCTGATACTATCAGAGCAATATCTCGAGTAAGCTTCTTCATTTTCCGAAAAGTAGCAATTGTAGTTATAGGAACTGTGCAGAGAAAGAAATACCAATGATGTTCTTCTCAGAACTTCCATAGATACAAGATGATAAGCACAATTGTTTCATTCAGACCATCCCCAGAAGTTCAATATCTCTATTTCACTGTACCTGCTTTGTTTCCCAATATCTCTATTGAGGAGACAATTTGAATTTTAAAAAAGATTGGGCAGTGGGCACAAGCAATGACACTGGCTTTTGCACCAATTTCACAATGCTTCAGACCAAAGAGGACCCAGAAAAATGAATCATGCTACACATGAAGCAATGAAATTCCTACATGCTCTGACAGAAAAAGGGATCACGAAGCAATCCGAAATACAACTGAGCGCATCATGTTAAGCATCACTTTAATAACGATTCCTCGACATTGGTCTCAGGAATATAACATCAAGGGTCAGTCCTACTTCCAAGCTAAGGCCAGAACAGAGATGCGAATTACGAAGATACTCACCATAACCTTCTTTGTTTCTCTTCATGGCATTCAAAAGATACTTGTCTGTGGGTAAATTCTCATCACTAAAGTAGTATTCAACCTGCAAGTCAATAGGAGGAAAGAAACCAAGAATAAAAAACAACATGACAGTTATAACGAATATAAGACCATAAGTATATATTCAAGGATTTCAAAACTGCCAGCCTAGAGTTGAAAGACTTCAAACCAAACACAAAAATGAAGTTTTTCTTCAAGATGATTCGCTTTTCACTTAAGAAAACCAGATAGCGAGAAACTCTTAGTTCCGAAACTTCATTCGGTCGGAATCGTTGAGCCACAGAACAGGATTTAGGCAAAGGGTGGGCTCTCTAAGGCGAATAGCATTTTTTCCTATTCCTGTATTCATCTCCCAATTCCAAAAAATTCGAAAATGTTCCACCAAATAAAAAATGAAACAGCCCAGAGATGGAGGCTTCAAATACAAGAAGCAGAACTCGTCCGATTAATCTTTTATGCAAACCAGGGAACATCCAGAGGATGAAAAGAAGGAGGCCTTGCCTGCCTGATGATTTTTCGTTTCAAGTCGTCGGTGAGAACGCCGGCCGCGACGGATTGATCGCCTTGATCCTGATTGTGGTCCTCTCCGCCGTTTCTCTCGTGCTCGAGATCATCATCGGACGGAGAAAACTGAGGGAGGTCCACAACGACGGTTTCTTCAGGAGATCCGAAGATAGGCGGGGAATCGACGCCAGACGACGGCGGCGGCATGGAGGAAAGATCCACGGAAGAAACGGAGGCGGATAGCCCCACCTCTGGATCCATCTCGCCGGAGCGAAGATGACCGCCGGTGATCGGAGAGAGAGAACGGAGAAGGGTGAAAACTCCTTCCGCCCTCTCTTTCTTGGGGTCTCTTTTTTTCCTCTTCTTCCCCTCCGCGGTTGCGTTCTTTCCCTTCTCCGTTTATTAATGACCTCCTGTGCTTGGTCAAGGGACATTTTCGTCATTTTACTATCTTAGATAAAACGGTGTCGTCTCGAATAGTAAACATGTGTCGAATAAACATATGTCGAACATATGTCGAAACAACTGATATTTTTTGTTGTTGTTGTTGGGCCGTTAGTATCAAATATATATATATATATATCTTTATATAACTTGGTAAGAAATTTAAGGCTCTTTAATGGGCTGGGCCTAAATCAATGCGAACATAAAAAAGCCCACAACAAACGGCCCAAATGTTCAAACATCTTTTTTTTTTTCTCGTAGTTATATACTTTCATGAGTGTGTATTTTTTTTGTAGTAATTGACTACAAGAGATATGATTTATTAATTGTAAAACGCGTGGGGTCGAATCCATTTACTATAAATCACAATAATATGCATTATTATTATTTTTTTATAAAATCAAGAACTTTTAATACGTTGGTGTCCCTCAAAGTAATGGAATCTACGTTTGACCATTAACATCATTTTTTTACCAAGTAACCATGTATATATGGAAATGGGTACAAGGGAAAAAAACTCATTCGTGCCACCAGAAATTCATGAACTGACCAAGGAGTGTGTGAATTGAATGATCTATGAGGAATATATAAATCTTATGACCCAAATCATGCGTGTTTTGTATGTAGTAAAAGAAAATGAGAGGTAAGCACATCGTTCATGAATGAGATGTGACAAGGATCTAGTACAAATTACGTATAAGGATCCAACTAAATCGCTTATCTTGTGTTGTGTCGACAGATTTTTTGCATAGGATGTGACAAAAGACCACTATATATATATATATGTGTGTGTATATATATGTTGAATTAACATACGATTAAGACATGGGTGTTACGTAACCTTAGCTCAACATATGGAATGATGACTCAGACATCAATACTTTTGTGTTGGGTTCTCTTATAAGGCACCTTGTTGAATTTCGATCTATTCACACTAACCTATCGTCGGATTTGACAGCAAATTAATGACTGTATTGTCTATATATATATTATATATATATGTTGAATTAACATACGATTAAGACATGGGTGTTACGTAACCTTAGCTCAACATATGGAATGATGACTCAGACATCAATACTTTTGTGTTGGGTTCTCTTATAAGGCACCTTGTTGAATTTCGATCTATTCACACTAACCTATCGTCGGATTTGACAGCAAATTAATGACTGTATTGTCTATATATATATTAACAGTGGCGGATCCAGAAATTTTTTTCAACGGGGGCAACAAATATAAATATGATATAAAATATAAAAAACTAATAAAAATATATTATCAGAAAAATATTTTTCATTATATAGCTAAATTCTCCGATCTTTCATTTTTTTAAATCTATTCCTAACAACTTCATTTATAATTATCTCAAACATATTTTTTTCGATAAAACAAATTAGAAAATCACTCAAAGGCTGATCACCAATCCGATTACGCAAAGTTATTTTAACATGACTAAAAACTGTCATATAAATGAGCAATTTTGAATTTATTCCGTTAAATAGATCATTAAATTTTGGACACTGTAAATTTTTTTGAGAAATTTCTCAATAGATTTCTCTGTTAAATCAATTATGAGATTTGTATAAAAACAAATTTATTAATATGATAGATATTTAGAAATAAATGAATAAAAGATAAAAAAAATATTTAAAATAAAATCCAGAATACTTATATATTTTTGTTGGTTTTAGTTTTTTGGATTTGATTATTATTGGATTTTTATTTTTTTATTTGATAAAA